CCGCCGCGGGGGCGGGGAGGGGGGCCTCAAAAAAGGGGGTGCCCCCGGACCCCCTCCTGCCCCCCCCTGACCTGGGGGGGGGGGGGGGCTTACCCTTCGCATGATGCCGATAGCCTCTGCTGACAGGAAGCGGGGATAGCGAACCTCATCGTTGACGATGCTATCAAATACCTCCTCCTCATCGTCCCCAGGAAACGGAGACTGGGGGAATCCAGACCCAGTTAGAATAAGACCTCAGTTTTAGCCAATCCACCACACCCAGCCCCACCAGAGGGCTCTACACCTCAGTGTACAACTTCCTACCACTGGCTTACAGAAGGTAAGGATCCCATTTTACAGTTAATAGAAACCGAGACCAGAAAAGTGAAGTTGGTAGCCTGGATCACACAGCATGTGGTAGGGGTAGATGCCCATTCCACCCCAGGGCATAAGCCTGTTCTCCCAAGAGGAAAGGCGGCCTAGGGCCTCACCTCGCCGACCAGCATCTCGTAGAGCAGCACACCTAGTCCCCACCAATCCACTGCCCGTGTGTAGGATGTGTCTGTCAGCACTTCTGGCGCCAGGAACTCTGGAGTCCCACAGAATGTGCTGGTCCGGTCCCCATATCCCATCCCTGGGGAGAGTGAGGTCATGTGAGCTTATAATGGCTGGGGAGAGCAGAGCACGAGAAAGATAATCCAAACAGCTCGCCAGGCAGGGAATGGGATAACCCAGATGAGACTAAATAAAGCTGGTGAATGATGAGCCTGAAGTTACTGGGGTGGACAGGTGCTGCAAACAAAGCCTACAGAGAGGAAGACTTCATCTGACCACCTATATACAACCATATTTAAAGGCAGTCTACCCCGCTTCCCCTCCCCCAGGATTGCAGTCTCTCACCCTCCTTGCAGAGGCCAAAGTCTGCGATCTTGACATAGCCCTCGGTATCCAGGAGCAAATTGTCCAACTTCAGGTCCCTAGGGGATGGGGGTCAGGGGATGTAAGCATGGATGAGTGGTAGGGGGTTATCTGGGCTCTGCAGAGCTTGACCATGCCCTATCAGTGGGTGTACACACCTGTAGACAATCTTGTGTTCATGAAGGAACTGCAGACCCAGCACCACACAGGCCGAATAGAAGCTGCAGAGATGCGGTGGCTCACACAACCCTGGTTCCACATCCGCCAAAGGCCCCCACCCTTGGGACCCCAAAGCTCCAGGCAGGTGTGGGAAGCAGCCCTTGTGGTGAAGGAGCAGGGCCTTCGGATGAAGGGTGAGCCTTCAGGGCAGTGGGCAGAGCCTTGGGGTGGAGGGACAGAACCTAAGGTAGTGGGCAGGGCCTCAGGGCAGAGGACTGGGAAGAGGCCTCTTGCTGGCGGAAGGACTCACACAGCCCGAGGCTCTGAGAACACATCGCTGTGGATATGCAGCATCAGGTCCCCACCCGCTGAGTACTCCATCACAAAGCACACATGCTCGGGGGTCTGGAAACAGCCGAAAAGGTTCACCAGGAAGGGATGTCTTGCGCTGGTCACAGCAGCCAAGATCCGTTTTTCACACATCAGGCTGGGCACGGCACAGGGGGTAGAAGGCACAAATTAGAGTCCCACACCCTCCAGAGCTCACTCAACAGGTGTTTGCTGAGGGCTTTGCATTCCTCTGCAACTGTGAGCAAGTAGCTCAACATCTCTCAATTTGGGCAGCCATGGCACTGTCCTAGGAAACAGCTCCTGGACTCCTCTGGGAAGCTGCCGGGGGTGGGCAAAAGACTCAGGATAATCAGAGCAGCCCAACTCCATGGCTGGATAGACTGCTTTACGAACCAGCAAACTCAGTCAACGGGGCTTAATGTGAAGGTTGAAGTAGGTGGAGAATTGGGCTTTTGACTTGAAGAGGTCACCTGTGAGGGCTTTGCTGGGAGGAACACAGAACCGGAAAACCTCATCCAAGCACCTGGAGACAGCTGTGCCTCCAGTCAGGATTAGGTCTACTTCTGTGATCCAAATCAATAAATTCCTCTAAGTTTTTCTGAGCCACAAAGGTGGCTAGGAAGTCTACTCAGCTTGGTTGCCTCTACAGGGATCAAGGACCATGCAGAATACTTTAAGGTGGATCTTCCTTGATCCACCAATCCTATTAGGCAGGCATTTTTGTGCCCATTTGAAAGATCAGGAGGCTGAGTTCTTAAGGGAGGCTTCCATCCCCCAGCATCCAGAAGCATTCAGACAGAAGAGGGATTGAATACAGGGCCCTGACCCCCAAATCAGGGCAGTTCAAAGTTCCAAGTCCCTACATTTCAGTCCTGAACCTCTAGTTTATGGATGTGTGACCTCCAGCAGACTGCTTAACCTCTCTGTGCCATGAGCAGAATGGTTCCCTCCAGAAAGGAAGAAGAGAGAATGAATGAGTCACAGAATAGCTGCTTTCAAGGTCATTACTCTTAGATATAAGGGTAGTAAGTTCTAGTGACTTGGTTACTCTCACTGCAGTGCCCCAAAGGGGACTACTCTTGGTCCCCATTTCCCAGGAGAAAAGACAGGAGTCCCCAAAGGCAGGGCAGAGTCCTCACCTCTCCACCTCATCTCGGACTATGATGTCACCTTTCTTTAAGGCCTTGATGGCAAAGAGCTCCCCACTGGAGCGGAATTCAGACAGCAGCACCTGGCATGCAGAGGGCATAGGGGTCTTAGTGGGTGGGCTCAGCCCCAGTGGGCAGAACTCAGGCCCCTAACTTCCCCCATCTCACCTTCCCAAAGTGACCCCGGCCCAGCACCGCCAGGAACTTGAAGTCCTCAAGTGTCAGGGGTGACTTCCTCAGGGGGCTACAGAGAGAGGGCACTGGTGGGAACAGGGATGGTGCACAGGGGTGGAGATGGGGGCTGACAAGGGGCATCACCTGCACAGGCCAAGGCCTGGGGTCTCCTGGGTCTCTGAAGGCAGCTCTGGAGTAGAGGTGGATTGCTGAGTCAGGGAGCTCTGTGGTATAGAGGTCAGAGTGGCCAGGAGTTAGTGCCAAAGGGTCTAGGCCAGCTGCTGACCTCTCTGCCCTCACCTCCTTCCACCTGTTCCCTGAATCACTCCCTCTAGCCACTGTTCCCCTCCCCTCTGCCTGACATACACACACCAGGCTCCTTCCTACACCAGGACCTGTGCACAGGGCTTCTCTCATCTTGGATTGCTCTGCCCCCACATTTACATGATTCACTTTTTTTTTTGGTAGGACTAGGAATGGAACCCGGGCAGTCACACATATTACCCCCAGTACTCTGTTTTGTTTTGTTTAAGACAGTCTCGGGGCTGGAGAGATGGCTCAGCAGTTAAGAACACTGGCAGAAGACCCAGGTTCGAATCCCAGCACCCACATGGCAGCTATCAACTGTCCGTAACTCCAGCTCCAGGGGATCTGACAGCCTCTTCTGACCTCCTTGGGCACTGCACGACATGAGTGCACTTACCTACAGGCAAGCAATACACACATACACATAAAAATAATAAGTAAAATATTTAAAAAGAAAAAGACTCTCAGGCTGGGCGTGATGGCATATACCTTTAATCCCAGTACCCAAGAAGCAGAGGCAGGTGGATCTCTGTGAGTTTAAGGCCAGCCTGGTCTACATAGCAAGTTCCAGGGCAGCTGGGCAACAAGGAGACCCTGTCTCAAAACAAAACAAAATTTAAAAAACCTACCCCCCCCAAAAAAAAACAATAAGCTAGCTTTCAACTTGTGATCCTCCTATCTCAGCCTCCATAGCAGCTGTGACTCTAGGCTTGGGACACAGGCCCAGCTCTTCCCCTCCTCCTGTAATCTGTTTAAATGTCACCTGTGTAGGCATCAGCTGACTCTATTGAAGAAAGAACTCCTGAGCATGCTGTCCATCATCTCTGCTTGATTTCCCTACTCAGCACACTTTATATTTCAAATATATCTTATCTGCTATTTACTGGGTTTAGCTTAGATTTTTAAAATATTTATTTTTATATATTTATTTATTTTTGCAGTGCTGGGTACAGAATCCAGGCTGTACTCCTGCTACCACAGAGCTACATCCAGCCTAGCCATACCACATGAGCTAATGACTAAAAAGAACCACGGCCTGAGGGAAAGGGAGAGCCTTAAGATGACTCAGTGGGTTAAAGGCACTTGCCTCCAAGCCTGCTGATCTGAGTTTGATCCCTGGAACCCACATGGTGGAAGAAGAGAACCAACTCCTGCAAGTTGTCCTCTGTCCTCTACATGTGCACTGTATCATGTTGGAACACACACACACACACACACACACACACACACACTAATTTAATTTACATAAAAATGTAAAAAAACAGAATCAGGCCCGAGGGTGCAGCTTGGTGGCACACCAGTGACCAATGAAAACAAGAGAGCCAATTTTTTAAAATGGGAGAAAAGTAACAAGTAGGGTGGCTGGGGCAGTATGATGAGAGACAGAGACAGATGAGAGAGAGAGAGAGAGAGACAGAGACAGAGACAGATGAGAGAGAGAGAGAGAGAGAGGAAAAGAAAAGAAAAGAAAAGAAAAGAAAAGAAAAGAAAAGGAAGAGAAAATTGACCAGCAAGATGGCTCAGCTGGTAAAGGCATCTACCCCCAAGCCTGACCGCCTGGGACCCAAATGGTGGAAGGAGACAACTGATTCCTGTAAGTTGCCCTTCGATTTCCACATCAACACAAAATAAAGAAAGACTATAATAAAAATTTTAAAAAGAAAAAGAAAATTGCATTTGGTGAGGGTGACAGAGGGGCAGCTCTTATACACCATCCACTCAGCCTGGGGTCAGCAAATGCTGATCACTGATCAGCCAGTCTGCAGTCAGGTGGCCTGCCAGAGCTAAGAATGGTTGAGATAAAGATCCAAGGAAGTTCTGTGTGTGACATTCATGCTGCAGTGGCCACTGGTAAGGTCCTCCTGGAAGCCAAGCACCCGACTCACACATGTACCGTGCACCTGCAGTGGGCTCACTCCAACCTACGCAGCCGTCGTCAGGCACACAGCGAGAAGGATCAACTCCTTGGCTTTTTTTGTTGAGACAAGGTCTCAATGTGTAGCCCTGGCTATCCAGAACTTGCTATGTAAAACAGACTGGCCTTGAACTCATAGAAATACACCTGCCTCTGCTTCCCATGTGCTGGAGTTAAAGGTGTGTGGCACCAAACTGATGTTTTTAAAATAGGACAGAAAAATAGCCTGGGGACTAGAGCTCAGGTGGTAGCACTTGCCTAGTATGCACAATGCCCTGGGCTGCACCCCCAGCACCATATAAACCAGGAGTGGTAAGACCCTGTGCTCAAAAAAAAAAAGACCAGAGGCAATCCCAACACTTCAAAGGCAGAGTCTGGTGGATCTCTGTGAGTTCAAGGCCACCCTGGTCTACATAGTGAGTTCCAGGACAGCTGGGGCAACAGGGAGACCCTATCTCAAAAAGACCATAAAAAAAAAAAAAAGAAAGAAACAAAGAAATCTGGTTCTGCCATAGACATGCTGTGCCACCTTGGGTATGATCCTGATGGTTTCTGAAACTGGAGCAGGATGCAGAGGTTGTCCTGCCTAGAGGAAGCAGATGCTCACCAGACTAGATGGGCTGGACGGTGGCCCAGGTAGGCTCTTCTCAGGCAAGCTGTCCAGGTTTGCCCCGAGGTTCAGCTTCTCCATGGATATGTCTCTGAAGGAAAGGGAAAAGGGTGAGGTGAGGATCCAGCACCCTGGGAAGCAGGAGGGACAGGCGGGGTAATAGCGTCCCTCCTTACCCTGTGTGCCGGGCCTCGGAGCCTGGGGATGCACTGGGGCTGAAGGTGCCTGTGGCCGTGGCATTGGGGATAAGCCTCCGGAGCAGCCGCACCCATGTGGCCACATCAATGTTCATCTGTCTGGCACGCTGAAAGGCTTTCCCTGGGGTGATAAGGGTGGGCATCACCATCCATGACACTCCCAGGGTTCTCTGGCTCTTCCCAGCTCTCTTGGTTCACCCAGGCCACCTCTCACCTTGCTGCTTGGAGAAGATTTTCTTCTGCCTCCGGAGCCGAGGAATCCTCTCAATGAGTGGGTTACGGAAGGTGACCTAGGGAGATGCAAAGACGATACCATTCACCCGTGGTAGCCTCAGGAGCAGAGGTTCACATACCCTAAAGTTCAGGGGCACCAGGGCACCATGCCTTCGCTGAGGGCTTGTGGCTTGGCCCTAGCAGCCATGTGCAGAGCTTTTATCAGTGACTGCACACAGGGCTCTGAATTCACCTGTGGATTTATCCACTGATGGGTTCAGAGCTTGATGAACTATTGGGGGTCCTTTACAAGATGGGGTCTCATGGTAGGAAGTAGATCAATGAGATCAGTAGCTGCTGGGCCTCCTCCTCTCCTCTTCTCTCTCCTCCTCCTCCTCCTCCTTCTCCTTCCTCTCTCTCTCTCTCTCTCCCCCCCCACCTAGGCACCATAAAATGAGCAGCTCTGCTCCATGCTGTGCTCCCACCAAGATGTTCTGTTTCATCACAAACCCAGAAGTAATGGAGTGAAATGGTCATGAACCTGAAGCCATCAGTCAAGAAAACTGTTTCCTTTAAGTTTATCTCTCTCAAGCATTTTGTCACAGCAACAGACAGCTGACAAATAACAGAAGAGGTGGCCAATACAATTCACTGCTTGCCTTCTGAGGTGTAGGGTCAGTTTCTTTTCTGGTCACTGTGACAGAATACCTGACAGAAGCAACTTTAGGGAGAAAAGGTTTACTTTGGTTCATGGTTCAGGGATACAGACCATTATGGTGGGAAGGCATGAGCTTGGGCAGTGGGAGCCTGAAGCACAGCTTGTTACAGCTCAGAGGACCAGAAGGCAGAAAGCCAGCAGGAAATGGGACCTAGGTACAAATCTCATGACTCACTTCCTCCAGTGGCACTCCAGTGCCTAAGGATTCTACACCACCCAAAATGGCTACCAGCTAAGAACCAAATGTTCAAACACATGAGCCAGTGAGGGACTGTATTCTAAAAATCACCTAGGAGACAAGGTTCTAGGCACCTCTGTGAGGAATTATCTAGGTTAGATATGCCTGTGAGGGATTTTCTTGATTAGATTAGTTGAGGTGGGAAGACCCACCCTAAATGTGAGAGGCCCTAAATGTGATGGGGATAGAAAGATGGCTCAGCAGTTAAGAGCACTTGATGCTCTTGCAGAGGACCTGGGTTTGGTTTCCAGCACCCACATTGCTAATAGCAATCCGTAACTCCAGTTCCAGGGGATTTGACGCCCTCTTCTGGTCTCCTTGGGCACCGCATACACAGGTGCACTTACATCATACAGGCAAAACACACACATAAAAATAAGTCTTTAAAAACAATGTTTTTAAAGGAGAAATGAAGCTGAGCATCGGCTTTCCTCACTGCTTCCTGTGGACAAGATGTGACTAGCCATTTCAAGCTCCTTCTATCTTGACATCCCACCTTGATGAGCCAGACTGAACCCTTTCTCCTTAAGTTGCTTTTGTCAGGGAATTTTACCACTGCCACAGGAAAAATAATTAAGACAAGAGCATTCCTATTCAAACCACAGCAGACTACCAGCTTGGAAAGGCAAGAATTAGGCAAGTAGACCCTCCTCTGGAGGTAAGGAAGGGTCTGGCCCAAGAATGACATGTAATTCCAGCAAATGGGTCTCACATCACCTACTGCCTTGATTCCTCAAAGTTTGGTCTCAGGTTGGCCACACTGGCATTGCCTGGCCCGTAGTTTGACTCTGCAATATCCCATAATGCCTGTGTGTTGAAGGCTTGGTAACCAGCCTGTGGCACTATTTGGGAGAAAATGAGGTCACTGGGGCATGTCTTCATGGCATATATTAGAAGTCTAGCCCCTTTCTCTGTGCATTTCAAAAGATGCACAGGCCTCCCCAATCACACACTCCCACCATGGCATATTAAGCCAAAAGCCCAGATCACTGGGACCAAGTGACATTGACAGAAACTATGAGCCAAAATAACCCTTCCTTTTCTTAAGTTGACTATATTAGGCATCTCATCAGTAACATAAAGCTGACTTATCTACCGGGGAACTTGTTAGAAATAAATTCTCAGTCCAATCTTGGATTGAATCAGAAATGTAGGGATGGGGCCCAGCACTCTGTTCCAGTTACACAGACCACACTGCAGACAGAACAGTCCATCCACAGTGGAACTCAATGTATTAAGCCCAGTGACAACAGAACTCCAGAAAATTCTGCCAAGGTACACCTATCACTAAGTCTCGGGCAACTCACCACCATCCTATCTCTACCTGGGTATGCTGTTGCTGTTTTGCAGTGCTGGGTCGGAAGCCAAAGCCCTGTGTGAGCCAGACTAACACTCTACACTGAGCTGTAGCCTCAGTGCTTGTTTTTGTTTGTTTTTGAGACATGATCTCACTATGTAGCCCTGGCTGGCTTCACCCCCACAAGCATATGCCACAACTCCTGGCAGAAGACAGGCTTGTTGCTACTTTGTTTCTGAGACCGAGACCGAATGGATCTCATGTTATCTCAGGCTGGCCTTCAACTCACTGTATTGCCAAAAATGACTTTGAACTTCTGATCCTCCTGCCTCTACCTCAGGAGTACTGGGATCACGGTGTACCACCATATTGGTTTATGCAGTGCTAGGGATCAAATTCAGGGCCTTATACATGCTAGGCAAGTATTTTATCAACTGAGCTATATCCTCAACCCAACAGACAGGTCTCTTTTTTTTATTTTTATTTTTGGTATTTTTGAGACACGGTCTCCCTGTAGCTCCAACTGGCCTGGAACTCTCTATGTAGACCAGGCTGGCCTTGAACTCACAGAGATCCACCTGCCTCTGCCTCCCAAGTACTAGGATTAAAGGTGTGCACCACCACGCCTAGCTCCAAAAGACAGTTTTTAGTTTGGATTTTGTTTTGTTTTGTTTTTTGAGACAAGATCTCCTGCAGCCCCAGCTGGCCTGGAACTCTACATAAACCAGGTTGGCCTCAATCTCACAGAGATCTTCTTAGGATCAAAGGCATGCACCACCACACCTGGCATCCAATAGACAATTTTCAACCATCAAAACTGTGAGCAAAATCTAGCATCATGGTGCGCTTCTGGCATTCCAGCACACACACTCAATGCTCTCTTTTGGCTTCCAGGACCACTGCAAGACATGGGCGCACTTATGTAGATGTAGGCAAAACATTTATACACATAAAATAAAGCAAATTTTTAAAAATTATACACACACACATATAAAATATGTAATCTTTTGGTGGGTTATAGTGTAGACCAGGACAGCCTAAAACTTGCAGCTATCAACTTGCCTCAGTCTTACAAGGGCTGTGATTACAGGCGTGTGCCACCATGCCCAGGAAAGTATTGATATTATTATTATTGGCATATGGATGTCAGAGGACAGCCTTGTTGGAGTTCCAGGGATGGAACTCAGGCTGTCAGGCTTATACAGCAAGTGCTTTACCCACCTAGCCATCTTATTAACTCCATTTTTTTTTCCTAAAGTCATCTTATTTAACCCAGGTTTGTCTCAAATTTACTATATAGCTGAGGATGACTTTAAATTTCTGACTCTCCTGCCTCTGCCTCTTACAGGTGTGCCACTATGTCCGGTTTATGTAGTGCTGTGGATGGGAATCTGACACTGAGCTGTGCCCCATCCTCTCAAGTACTATTGGTCTTTTGTGTCCTTTCAGTTTTGGACTAGGGTCTTTTATATTTCTGACCTCAAGCTGACCATATGGTCAAGGTTGTGTGTTCTACCACACCTATTATTTATTCAGAACTGGGGATGGAGCCTGGGGCTCTGTACATGCTAGGCAAACATTCTACCTATTGAGCCACATCCCCAGACCAACATACGTAATCTGATGGGACACAATCTTCTGGGATCATTGTCATGAACAGTCTGTCACTGAGCCCTTACGTGAGGTGTGCTGTCCTGGCATTAATCTCAGCTCTCATGAATGTACTTTTCCAAAACGGCTCAAAGACTCATCTGAAATGAATCTTCCCTAGCTACACAATCAGGGGCAAGGAGACAGGAAACACTTTCTCAGGGTCTGGGGTCAAGCTGTACCTCAGCCAGCAGGCAGCCCTGGGGTTCCAAGTCCAGCTGCACTTCGTGCCTCTCATTGTCCAAGAAGTCCTCCAACTTCAGAAATTTGAGCGCACACAAGCCCCGCTGGTCCCGCCAGAACACTGCTAATTCCAGCTCCCGAGCCTTGAAGGAGAAAAATAGGGTCATCACTTGGGGTAACTGAAGCTCAAACCCCACTTCCTCTAATTCCACCATTCCCCAACACAGCTCACCCTCTCCAGCTCCAGGGTGAAGCTCTGGTCCCAAGCATTGGGGCCACACTGCTTCCAGGATGTCTGTCCCACCACTGCATTGTCCAACTTGAGCACAGTGCTGACCTCAGCTGAAACCAGGAGAGGGCAGCAGGAAACAGTGGAACATTCTTCCGGCTTGCCCTCACGGTAAAGCCTTTATTTCAGGGGCAGGTTTGTGGGGTTTTGTGTTTTTCTTTTGGTTTTGACTGACAAGGCCTTACTCTGAAGCCTAGGACGGCCTGGAAGTTACTTAATGTAGCTCAGACTGGCCTTGCATTTGTTGTGATCCTCCTGTCTCAGTCTCCCATGTGCTAGGACTATGGACATGTGCCACCATGTCTGGCCTCATTTTTTGTGTTGTGTTTTTTGAGACAGCATGGTTTGTAGGCTATGCTGACCTTGAGCGTCTGATCCTCCTCTACTCCCTAAATTCTAGAGGGCTTCCATTACCAAACCAGGAATTTGGCCTCTTTTGGTTTTGTTTTGTTGAGACAGAGCTTCTTGTTGCCTAGGCTGGCCTTGAACTTCTGATCCCTGTCTCTACCTCCAGTATGCTATCTGATATAATCTAGGGATTACAGGTGCGTACTACCACAACGCTTGGTTTATGCAGTGCTGGAGATCAAACTCAGGGCTTCAAGCACACTAGACAAGGATTTCCACCAACTTAGCTCCATCCCTAGCCCAATGCCCTCACTTCTAATTACAGTTCTGGCAGGTTCAGCACATTCACACTGCTCTTCTCCTATCATCATCATTCATCTCCAGAATGCTCATCTTCTCAAACTAAAGTCCTGATCCTATAAACATGCTCCAACCTGACACAGCCCTTCTCCTTCTGTCTCCATGGATCAAATGGCTCTGGGGAGTGCTATGTACGGAAGCAGGCAGTCTTTGTCTTATGACTGGCTTCTTTCCTTTTTTTTATTTTTAAATTTTTAAAAATATTTTATTATTTTTATTTTACGTGTATGCATGTGTTGCCTGCATGCAGGTAAGTGCACCCATGTCATGCAATGCCCGTGGAGGATAGAAGAGGCCGTCGATACCCTGGAACTGGAGTTACGGACAGTTATTAGCTGCCATGTGGGTGCTGGGATTCGAACCCAGGTCTTCTGCAAGAACAGTCAGGGTTCTTAACCGCTGAGCCATCTCTCCAGCTCCATGACTGGCTTCTTTCACGTACATTGTCCTCAGTGCTCATCCATGCTGCAGCATGAGACACAATTTCCTTGCTTTTCAAGCAATATGATTCCACTGTTTGGATAGAGCACAATGTGTCTATCCACCTAAGGACACGGCTATTCCCCCTTCTGTCTACTGTAGATAATACTGTGAACACAGGTATGCAACAACTCAGACCCTTGTTCAATTCTTTGCAAAGCATGTACCCCGAGCCACACACCTCTAGGCCCTCACTGGAGAATTCTAAACAGGCCTTCTATTGACGAGCAATGCTCCTAGGCCCTTCACTGAGGATTCTAGGCAGGTGCTCTACCACTGAGCCACACCCCAGCCTCTCATTGGCCCATGCCTCCCCAGCTACTGCAGTATTTTCCAGAATTGCTATTCGACTTTATATTCCTACCCACTATGCACAAAGGTTCCAATTTCTCTACATCCTCTCTAATATTTGTGATTTTGTTTTGTTTTGTCACTGTTGTTTTGGTAAGTCATTCCAATAGACACGGCATGATTTTTTAAAGTGTTACAAAGCTGGGTGAACTGTGGTCTCAGCTTACTTGGTTGTCTGAGGCAAAAATATAACTTGAACCCCAGATTTTGAAACTCTGGCTCTAAATAAATAAGCAAATAGATAAATAAAATACTACAAAAATGGGCAATACCAGGTGTGGTGGCATATGCCTTTAGTCCCAGTATTCAGGAAGCAGAAGCAGGTGGATCTCTTTGAGTTCAAGGCCAGCTTGGTCTACATAGTGAGTTTCGGGTCAGCTGGAGCTACAGGGAGACCCTGTCTCAAAAAGACCAAAAATAGAAATAAAAACAGGTAGGCAGTCCCAGACCCTACCCCCCACTCTGCCTACTTACTTGTGCTCTCAGCTTCTGCCTTGAGGCTGCTCCGACCACTGAGGCTTCCACTCCGGCTGTAAAGGCCCCGGGCTGGGCGGCTCAGAAAAGGTGTACGGCTATCAGGGGTCCCAGGTGCCCCCATCGAGGTGGAAGAGTTCCAAGGGATGGTCTCTGGAAGGTCCCTACAGCCTACCACACGTACTTCCAGGGTCCCTGCAGGAGGGGCACGCTCATGGAAAGGTGGGCTGAGGGGATAAGACCATCTGGATAGCCAGGGTGGGGCAGGGGGGGTCAAGGGAAGAAGGCTATGCCAGGATGTGAGAATACAAAACAAGTGGGCTAGGGAGGCTCAGGGCGCTGGGGTTTAGAAAAGGAAAAATGGTTCAGGGCAACCAAGGGCAACAGGGAGGAAGAAGGCAGACTGGGGGAAAGGGGATGTAAGATTTGGTGGGCAGGCATGAGGTTTGCAATGGGCTAGGACAGGCAGAGGTCAGAGGTCAGAGCTTAGGTTCCTAGAGTGACATGGTCTGAGGGACTGCGGGTAGAGGCAAGAAACGAGGGCAAGAGGAACGCGTGGGGACAACAGTCTAGAATCAGAAGGGAACTCGAGGATGGGGTTGCTTAGCCTGTGGAGATGGAGGCCAGGATGAGAGGGCTTGAGATCCTGGGAAAAGCAGCGTCCAAGGCTGGGGAGCCTAGGGACTCAGGCCCATGTTCTTGGGGCCACCCTGGGGAGAGCGGCAGATCTGGGGCCCACCTGTGAGTGGCGCAGGCTTGCACAGGGTGCTGTAGGGCATGGCGGGGAAGGGCCCAGTCAGGAGTGCGCTGAAGGCTGCGGACGAGGCCACCGCAAGCTCCTCCCGCAGCAGCCGCCCCTTAGGGTGGTCGGCGGGCAGCTCCCCGAGGCGCCGCTCCAGCGCCTCCCGCAGCAGCCCCAGTTTTTGGTTGGACTCGGTCAATTTCTCCTGAGCCTATGACAGAAAGGGCAAGAGCTAAGGGTAGAGCCGGGCTGGCCCCTCCCCCAAAACCCACCCACCTCCAGCAACTTCTTCCAAGGCCCAAACCTCAAACTTACTAGGTCTCATCTGTCAGAGCCCAGAAAACTTAAGCCCGCCCTACTGCCTGTCCTAAGTCCCGCCCCTTCTGAGCCTCGCCCAGTTCCCTCGTTCCCTCGATGGTGCCCCACTCCCAGCTCCCAGATTAGGCTGTACTTCTTGACTGGCCCCCACTACAGCTCCACCCCTCACTAAAGCTGTCCCTAGTTGGTGCCCCACCTCTCAAATTCATTCGCCACCTTAGCCCATGCCCCTCCCTGAGGCTCCGCCCCCTCTGAAGCCTTGCCCCTAACTTGGATATACCCCTACTAAGGTCCCTCCTCTTGTTAAGGGTCCACATCTAATGGCAAGCCCATTTGGGCTGAGGCGCCATCCTTCACCAGGGCCTGTTCCCAGTGAATTCCCCATCCCTCCTACCCTCCATCCCCGGTCCTCCCACCTCGACCCACGACAAAGCCCCACCTCCCTGACCTCGCTGACGGCCTTGCGGTCTGGGGCCTTCGCAGCACTGAGCAGACGCAAGACATTCTTGGCACCTTCCACCACAGCATGCTCGACTCGGAAGTGGTGTCTCAGCTCCTCGATGCGTAGCTCTATCGCTCCCAGGTCTGGATCCCCTTGGGCATGGGTCATAGAACAGTCAGGCAGTGCAAAGACCAGCCTGATCCCAGACAACACTGTGCAGGCACAGGCACACCCCACACACCACTGCCTCCAAGATGCATCATGGTTCTCAAAGTGGTGGTAACTGTCACATTTCTATCCAAACACAGTCACTCTTACTCAAATACCATAACCTTTAGGGAGATGGTTACCCATGACTGTTTAGAGTAATGACACACACGTACACAGTCAACTTAGACTTACGAAGAAACATTGACACAGTCCCAGGGACAGACAACATCTACACTCAGCTGCCATCAACCATGCATTACATTTTTCACCCAAGGACTGTCATCCACAGGGACAGTGACATAAATCAGACTGTCATAAGATGCAGGTGCCCTTCACTCCCTAGTGAACTGCCACCTCAAAACCAGATAGTTACAAGGATGCAGCACACTGCTACCCAGATGACTCTGGAGCTATATACCCGTGGCTGTAAGAAACTGATTGCTTGTGTCCTCTACCAATTTAAATGTGGAGCAGACCCCCAAGGAGATGGTATCTGAGAATGGGGCCTCTAGGATAGAGGAGGTAATGAGTGTAGGGCCCTCATGATGAGATTAGCACCCTTAGAAGAAACAACAATGACAGGGTACTCCTGCAGTTCATTGGTACAGCACTTGCCTAGAGTACATGAGGCCACAAATCCCATTCCCATCCCATAATCAAAAAAAGTACTAACACATAAAAGATCCATGGGGCTGGAGAGATGACTCTGGTTAAAAGCACTGGCTGCTCTTGCCAAGGACCCAAGTTCAGCTCCCAGCACCAACATGGCAGCTCACAACGATTCCTAACTCCAGTTCCAGGGGATTCAACACTCTCTTCTGGCCTCCATGGGTATTGTACCACACAGATGCACTTACATACATACAGGCAAAACACTCATAGACACAAAATATAAAAAAATAATCAAAAGAAAAAATTTTGAGGCCCAAAAATGAAAAAAAAAAAAGCTGAGTGCAACAAGGTACACGTGTAATTCCAGCCCTTAGGATTGGGAGGCAGATCAGAATTTCATAGCCAGCCTAGGCTACATGAGACCCTCCCTAAAGGAGTAGCAGTAGCAGCACACAACAAAGGGCAAGCAAGATGGCTCAGCAGGTAAAGGCTCTTACCATAGACTCTGATGACCTGAGTTCTAACCCAGAACCCATGTGGTAGGAGGGAATTTACTCCCAAAAGTTGTCCTCTGACCTCTACACTTGAGACATGGCACACTTGCCTCTGCCCACATATACACTAAATAAGTAGGAAAAAAATGAGCAAAGAAAAGGGAGAAAATGTAGCATATGTTTATAGTCACGGCACTTGGAAAGCTGAAGCAAGAGAGTTACCAAAAGTTCAAGGCCAGCCTTAGTTACAGAGTGAGATCCTGTCTCAAAAAAATCAAGAATAGTGGCTGGGGAGAGAGATGCCTCGGTAGTTAAGAGTGCTTGCTACTCTTGCAGAGGACCTGAGGTCATTTCCCAGGACCTATGTTGGGTGGCTCACAACTGCCTGTAATTCCAGCTTTGGGGGATCTTATGCCTTCTTCTGGCCTCCCACATACACATGACACACATATACATACACGATTTTTTTTTAAGTGCCAGGAATAGAGCCAGGTATGGTGGTGCACACCTTTAGTCCCAGTCCCAGAGGCAGAGGCAGGCAGCCTGGTCTACATTGTGAGTTCCAGGCCAGCTGGGGCTACAGGGAGACCCTGTCTCAAAAAAAACAAAAAAAAAGTGCTGAGAGTAGTGGTGAACCTTTTTAAGCCCAGCACTCCAGAGGCAGAGCGGGAGGATCACTCTGAGTTCAAGGCCATCTTGATCTACATAAGGAGTTCCAGGCCAGCCAGGACTACACAGTGAGACCCTGTCTCAATAAATAAATAAATAAGCAAAGTAAATAAATATATAAAATCTTAGAAAAAATAATAAATATAAAAGATAAAAGACAGAGAGCTTGCTCATGTGCTTGTATGATTGTTTATACTCATTTTCACTTCCCCCTCCCGCCCCCTCCAGCTCCTTCTTCCTACACCAAGTTAGGTAACAGCAAGAGGGTGACTATCTCCAAGCCAAGAGCTCAGCTTTCACCAGGTCTGGGTGTGCTGACACCCTGCTCCCACACTTCTGTCCCCATAACTGTGAGGCTGTTTGTGCAGCCTGGTTTGCAGTTCCTTGCTTCAGGAGCCCAAGCCAAGCAAGACAGACAGCATTAACACACTGGGTCATATTGCTGCCCACAGGGACATAAGGGCACTGCAGTTCTGATATTAGTTGTAAGCATACAGTCACCTGCAGGCAGAGGAGCACACATTCAAACCAAAAAGACACAGTCCTACTGCCACACACGGGCACTGTCACAGGTCAGGCTATCTTACAGTCACGGCTCCATCACCTCAGGCACAAGGACAGCGTGAGAGGACCAAGACACTCTGTTAAAAGACTTGGGGCTGGAGAGATGGCTCAATGGTTAAGAGCACTGACTGCTCTTGCAGAGGACCCAGGTTTGAGTCCCAGCACCCACATGGCGGCTACAAACCATCCTTAACTCCAGTTCCAAGGGAATCGAAGCCCTCTTCTTACCTCCAAGGTATTGCACGACACGGGTGCACTCACATACATGCAGGCAATATACTCATACACATAAAATAAAAATAATAGATAAATAAATAAATATTTTAGAGACAAACATTTTGGGGCAAGGAGCTGGCTCAATGGGTAAAACGCTTGCTTTGAAGCAAAACTTCAGTTCTGATCCCCGAAAGCCAGACATGGAGGTGTGTGCCTATAATCTAGGACTGGGAAGCTGAGACAAGGGAAACCTGGGGCTTGCTAGTCAGTCAGTCCAGCTTAATCAGTGAGCTCCAGTTCCACTGAGAAACCCTGTCTCAAAAAAATAAGGTGGAGCCGGGCGTGGTGTCGCAGGCCTTTAATCCCAGCACTTGGGAGGCAGAGGCAGGCAGCTCTCTGTGAGTTAGAGTCCAGCCTGGTCTACATAATGAGTTCCAGGCCAGCTGGGGCTATAGAGAGACACTGTCTCAAAAAAAAAAAAAATTAAAAAAAAATAAGGTGGAGGTGAAGCCAGTGTTGACCTCTGGACACACAGACCAACACACACACACACACAGGCTTACTATATACACACATACATACACATACACACACACAGGCTTACTACACACACACACAGGCTTACTACATACACACACACACACACACACACACACACACAGGCTTACCACAAACACACACATACATACATACACACACAGGCTTATTACATACACACACACATACACAGGCTTACTATATATACATACATACATACACATACATACAGGCTTACCACAAACACACACATACATACACACAGACAGGCTTATTACATACACACACACACACATACACACACAGGCTTACCACAAACACACACATACATACACACACACAGGCTTACTACATACACACACATACATACACATACACACACACGCAGGTTTACCACACACACATACATACACACACAGGCTTATTACATACACATACATACACACACACACACACACACACCACAAAACAAAAAACTAAACATCAAAAAAACCAACCCAAGGGGAACAATGTAGCAGAAGTCCTAGGACTAAGCTAGGTATATTCCCCAGGTCTGTGATAGCAGAACTGAGAAGGCTGAAGCAGGAGGACCTTGAGTACAAGACCAGCTTGGGCTGCATAGCAAGTATGAGACCAGCTACATGAAACTATCTTATAAATAAAAACAGGACCCTCAAGAGGGCTCAATAGGTAAAGCTTGGATCCCAAGTTCAAGTCTCAGGATATACATGATGCAAGGAGAGGTCCAACTCCTGCAAATTGTCCTCTGACCTCTACATGTGTGCCATGGCACATATGTACCCACACACATACTACACATACATACACACACATATATACACACATATATACATACATATATTAAGTCTCATGGAGCTGGAGAGATGGCTCAGCAGTTAAGAGCACTGACTGGTCTTGCAGAGGACCCAGGTTCAATTCCCAGCACCCATATGGTGGCTAACAACCTTCTGCACCTCTAGTTCCAGGGGAATCAGATGCCCTCTTCTGACCTCCTTGAGCACTGCACAACACAGGTGCACTTACAACATGCAGGCAATACACTCATACACATAAAATTAAATAATAATAAAGATTTTAAAAAGTCTATACTTGTTTATTAGATACATATTTTTCTGTAATGTTTTCAATCTTAGCTTGTTTCCCTGCAGATACAGAGCTCAGAATATTGAAAGCTGCTCTACATACAACCCTGGGTCCTCACAGTCAAAGCCACATGAACACACACACCCCAGTGCTGTGGACACCATCACCTCTACACAGACCTTGCCGCCAATCCAGGCTGTTTTTGTTTTTTTGGAAACAAGGTCTTACTCTGTATCCCTGGCTGTTCTGGAACTCTGCGTAGACCAGGCTGGCCTCACATTCAAAGAGATCCACCTGCCTCTGCCTCCTAAGTTCTAGGATTAAAGACGTGCACACCCCAACACACTGTTTTCAAGACATGCTCACATATCCCTTGATGCACTCAAATGCAGGGCTGGGGAGATGCTCAGTGGATGAAGAATCTGCTGTGTAAACATGAGGTCTGGAGTTCAGATCCCAGAACCCACATAGAAGCTAGGCAGACATGGCAGCTGACTATAATCCCAGCACTGGGGAGGCAGATGCAACAGATCCCTGAACAAGCTGACTAGCTAGAATACCTGAAATTGCCAAGCTCCAGGCTCAATAAGAGACCCTGTCTCAATAAACAAAGTGGAAAATGATCAAGGGAGACACGTGATATCAACTTTTCCATACTCAAGTGCACACACATGCCCGCACACATATACACCAAGAAAGAGAAAGAAAGAGAGAAAGGAAGGGAGGGAGGAAGGAAAGGGAGGGAGGGGAGGGAAGGAAGGAAGGAAGGAAGGAAGGAAGGAAGGAAGGAAGGAAGGAAGGAAGGAAGGAAGGAAGGAAGGAGGGAGGGAGGGAGG